CTCATAATGGAAAACTTAAGTTGGAAAAGTCGACCGGATATTGACTTATGTGTAAACGACCTCGGGTTTGAATTCTGATGATTCCAATAGCTCTGTATGGTAATTTTGGACTTGGGAGCGTGTCCGAAAAATTATTTGGAGGTACGTAGTGGAATTAGACTTGAAATGGCGAAAGTTAAATTTTTGGGATATTTGACCGGGGGGTTGACTTTTTGATATCGGGGTCGGAATCCGATTTTGGAAATTTGAAATAGGTCTGTAATGTGAAATGTGACTTGTGTGCAAAATTTGAAGTCATTTCGGATTGATTTGATGTGTTTCGGCACAAGATATAGAATTTGAAAGTTCAAAGTTCATAGATTTTTGATTTGAGGTGTAATTCATCGTTTTGATTTTATTTGATGTGATTTGAGGCCTCGAGTAGGTCTGTGGTATGTTTTAGGACTTGTTGGTTTATTTGGTAGAGGTTCTGGGGGCCTCGGGTGAGTTTCGGATGGTTAACGGATCAAATTCGAACTTAAAGAAAATGCTGGAACTGCTGCCTCTGATGTGATCGCACCTGCGAGGGTCTTGGCCACAGGTGCGATGCTGCAGGTGCGGAGGGGTTGGCGCAGATGTGGGACTGAGGATGGCCTGGGGTCTTCGCAGGTGCGGCGATTTTTGCACAAAAGCGCAACCACAGATGCGGTCCTATGCATTGCAGAAGCGATCTAGGTTGGCCAAGCTATTCTCGCAGAAGCGAGTTGTTTCCGCAGAAGCGAGGGTCGCAGGTGAGACCTTTTGTCCGCATCTGCGAAAGGGCTGGATAGAACCCTTTAAGTTCGAGGGTTCATGATTTTTCACCATTTTCGGATTTTGGAGCTCGGTTTGGGAGATTTTGGAGAGGAACTTTTCCACACGACTTGGGGTAAGTGTTCTTAACTCCCTTGTGATTATATTTCATGAATCTATCTTCATTTTAGAAATTGGTTGATGAATTTAAAGAGGAAATTGGGGGTGTTGGCCTAAAGTTCATAATATGAATTTTCGAGTTTTGAACATCGATTTGGAGAAGGAATTGAGTGAAATTAGTATGGTTGAACTTGTAATTGGATGGGTTATCGGATTTTGTAAGTTTCGTCGGATTCCGAGATGTGGGCCCCACGAGCGATTTTTGGAGTGTAATTTCAGATATTGTGAAAAATATTAGAATTTTGGTATAGAATTAATCCCTATAAATTGTGTGGACTGAATCAAATTTATTGTGGCTAGGTTCGAGCCATTCAGGAGTTGATACGCGTAGAATGGAATTTCTGGAGCATTGTTTAGCTTGCTCGGCATTGGATTCGTCTTGTTTGAGATAAGTAACTCTTCTAATCTTGGAGCTGAGGGTATGAACCCTGATTATACGTGTTATGTGTTTGGTATTGAGGTGACGCACATGTTAGGTGAAGGGCGTGTGGGCGTGTGGGCATGCACCATGTGAATTGGGACTCTGTTATTTCCATGGCACTGTATAATGGTCCTACTTTGTTGATGTCCGTATTTTTGCCATGTGATAAAGTAATTGAGCTGTCAATCATGCTAGATATCATGTTTAGGATTTATGACGATACTGCTAGGACCCATAGTGATCATTTCTTACTATCATTTCACTGATTATATTGATATTTCATACTCAGTCATATTCATGCATTCATATCAAATCTCAATCTCAATTGTTATTTATTGATACATTATATCATTGTTGTCAGGCTAGTTTCATGACATTATGAGCCCGTGAGTGAGACTAGAGAGATTGATGACTGAGTGAGGCCGGGGGCCTATTTGTGAGGATATTGATACTATAGCACGTGAGTTGTCCGTGCGGATCCAAATATTGATATTATGGCACGTGAGTTATCTGTACAGCACGTGAGTTATCCGTGCAGATTATAGCGCTTGGGTTGTAGGAGCCCCTCCGGAGTCTGCACACCCCCAGTGAGCGCGATTGATATTATTGAGGGATGGATCTTCCCTGGACATGGATCTTGTCCGAAGCATTATGTACCTGGAGATGGATCTTCTCCACGGGCTGGATTGGCCCTACTCGGTATTGAGTGACTAATGATCAGTTGACGTGTATATTCCGAGATAGATATTCCCCGGGCCAGATTGGACATATACAGTACCGAGTGATTGGGCATGATGAGTGAAATGTGTGAGAAAGTGAGATTGAGTACTCTGAGAGTGTGAGTACATGAGTTCATCTCTGAGATACATTGCATTGACATGCACACATGACATATAGGCATAGAGATGTATTTTTCTCATGCTGTACGGTATCACATCATTCATGATTTCTCACACATGTTGACAGATGGGCATAGTGATGCATTTGTTTTACACTGGTTATCTGGAAAGAAAATGAATCAACTTATTTATTATTGAAAGAATTTTGGAAAAATTATTGTTTTCAAACTTATTCAGATTTTTGGCAACTTCGGTAAACGATTTGGGTTTTCATTGATGTACTTGAAAGGTAGAACTATTTTCAGAAATCATGTTTTTGTTGAGTATTTGATTGTTGAGTTACTTCTCATATTACTTGTTTTATGTTGTTATGAACTATTGTTGGTTATTGAAGTTGGGACCCGACATTGGTACAATCTCGTCACTACTTTCAACCTAAGGTTAGGTTTGTTACTTATTGAGTACATGAGGTCGGTTGTACTCATACTACACTTTTGCACCTTGCGTGCAGATGTTGGCTGTTGATGTTGCTGTGTTCGTTGGGAGCTGGATCTGAAGATGTACCTATGTTCCGGTTGTAGCTGCCTCTTGTTCATGGTAGCCTTAGATTCATAAAACTCTGTTTATGTACTTTTCAAACAGATAATGTATTTACTTCTTACCATCTTTGTATACTCTATTCTTAGAAGTTCATGATTTGTACTACCAGTTCTTGGGGAATATATAAGATTAAGATTTTTCTTTACTTAAATTGCTTTAATAATTGTTATTGGAATTGGATAGTTGATAATTGGCTTACCTAGCGGGTTGGGTTAGGTGTCATCACGACTAGTTGGATTTTGGGTCGTGACAAAAACGAAATGATAAAAATGAAGTCGTTAGATATAAAGCACGACTTGCGGCACAAGGATTTTCGCAAAGGCCTGACATTGATTATATGCAGACATATTCTCCTGTGGTAGATGCAATCACCTTCAAGTATATTATAAATCCGGCAGTCCATAAAAAACTTGATAAGCGTTTGATGGATGTTGTCACAGCCTATTTGTATGGCACATTAGACAACGAAATTTATATGAAAATTCCTGAAGGGTTTAAAGTGCCTGAAGCTTATAAAGGTTTACGGGAAACTTGTTCAATAAATCTTCAAAAATCCTTATATGGATTGAAACAATTAGGGCGAATGTGGTATAATTACTTGAGTGAGTACTTGCTAAAAGAAGGGTATAAGAATGATCCAGTTTGTCCTTGTGTCTTTATAAAAAGGTCTGGATCTGAATTTATTATAATCGATGTGTATGTTGATGATCAAAATATCATTGGAGCTCCTGAGGAACTTCCAAAAGCGGTGGACTATTTGAAGAAAGAGTTTGAAATGAAAGATCTTGGAAAGATAAAGCACATCCATTGAGTACACCGATAGTTGTAAGATCACTCAATATAAATAAAGATCTATTCCAACCTTGGTGATGAAACTCCCTATCTTAGTGCAATTGGGGCAGTAACATATCTTGCAAATAATACTCGACCAGATATAACTTTTGTAGTAAATTTATTAGCAAGATTTAGTTTATTTCCAACAGCAAGACGTTGGAATGGTGTTAAGCATATTATTAAATACCTCCAAGGGACTATTGATATGGGATTATTTTATTCTTATGAATCTGATTCATAAATAATTGGTTATGCAAATACATATTATTTGTCTGACCCACATAAAGTTCGATCTCAAACAGGCTATCTATTTACTTGTAGAGGTATTCATGGCATTCAACGAAACAAACTTTAGCTGCTACATATTCCAATCATGCAAAGATAATAGTTATTCATGAAGCTAGTCGAGAATGTGTATGGTTGAGATCAGTGACTCAACACATTTAACAACTGTGTGGTCTTTCTTTAAAGACGAAGATTCCAACAATATTGTATGAAGATAATGTTGCTTGCATAGCTCAACTAAAAGGAGGATATATCAAAGGAGACAGAACAAAGCATATTTCACCAAAGTTCTTTTTCACACATGATCTTCAACAAAATGGTGAGATAGATGTTCAACAAATCCGTTCAAGTGATAATATGGCAGATTTGTTCACTAAGGCATTACCAACATCAATATTTGAGAACTGAGACATAAGATTGGAATGCATTATCTCCGAGATATCAAATAAAGTTTTCATCAGGGGGAGTACAATACGCGTTGTACTCTTTTTCCCTTAACTAAGGTTTTGTCCCGATTGGATTTTCCTGGTAAGATTTTTAATGAGGCATCACTCAATGCGTATTACAAGATGTGTGTATTCTTTTTCCTTCACTAGGCTTTTTCCCACTAGGTATTTCCTAGTAAGGTTTTAACGAGACACATTATCTTTCAAAAGAACATCCAAGGAGGAGTGTTATAAATAAATTGATGTATATGGATGTTCATTTAATCCATCTATACATCATATATAATGTACTACTTGGATAGATGTATCTATTAATTCCTAGGATGTATCTAGTGAGTTTTGGGTGTATCTTGTATACTATAAATAGGACATTCTTTGCCCAGGGAAGAACACACAAGAAATACACTTGAATAAGATAACTTTTATATATCTTGTCTCCGTTATTCTATTTTGCTTTCATTTCTTAATAGATTTAAATATTTTAAGTATTGAACTAACTGTGGGGCAATGAATTTTCCCTAGATTTAGAATAAACAGAAAAGGAAAAAAATAAAGCAAATCAAACGACGACGTCCTGCAGGTGGTTACTCAGTCTTCTGTCAACGCTTTATGCTTCGCCACGACTGCAATTTTGATATCAAAAGCAGCTATCTCTCTCTCTCTCTCACTCGCGCGCACACAAAAAAAAACCAGAAAATGGCGACGAGCAGAGGGAAGATCACATTCAGAATAGTGATAGGGATTTTGGTACTGTTATTATTGTACTACGTTGGCCGCCCTCTCTACTGGAAAATCTCCGCCACCGTTCACGACATTCGCCACAATAAACAAACCGTCTCCGCAGGTCTCGTCTCAATTTTTATTTTTTTTTCTATTAAAGTGTTATGTTTGACGCTTTTTTGTTAAGCATAAATAAATAAGCGTTGACAGTTATTGTAAAATTGAGTTTTGATATATTGTTACATTGATTTTTTGGTGTAGGATTTTCACAAATTGTTCAAGCAGCGCAGAATTCGGTGGGCTGGTTTCACGACGAGTCCGATTCAGGAGTTCGCAACGATCGCATCGCTGCAGCAAGGAGGATCCTAGCTTCTTCATAAGGTTTTGTAAAAGCTTTGTAGTTTTGATAATTTTTGTTACTTTCATGTATTGAGAGTGTTACAAAGTGATTAACGTTGATCTGGTTGAATAAATTATGTTACTGTTGTGGAGACTTTCACATTTTTGAAATTTTGGCAATCGTAGCTACATATTGTACTAATTAAGTCCATATCAGACTGTGGAATGTTCGAAGTTTCTCTGTTTATTTCGCTTAATATGAGTTTAAATTTCCTTTCTGATCCTACTTGTTTTGATCCCGCTTACTAGATCTTCCTGTCTCTGTGTTAGTTGAACAAGCTCGTACATAAAATTGAATCCAAGTTGCAAACTATATTTTTCGACTCGAGGTATATCTCATGCTAATTTGATTTGCTCTTCCAAGGGTCACAAATGAAAGAGGCTCACGGAATCTACACTTTATTCGAGGGGAAAAAAAAGATATGGCTGCTAGGAATGTTACATTTAGCTTTTCCATTGAGTGTTTATTTTGCTCTACGAATTAAGAAGGGATCAGTAAGAAGTTTACTTGGGGATATGAGATAGAAGATTTCCAGGCTCAAGTTGTTCTAATTCAAGGACATGTAGTTTTTTTAGGGTAAATGTTAAGTTTAAGTCCAGTAATTTACCTAGCCAAACAGATTATTTTAGATGTTCCAATTGGATTTTTCTTTTGAAAGTATAATAACTAGTTAGAACTTAGAAATTGATTGAAGAACATGCACCAATTACTTTTTATTTGATAGTTTTTCTTGATAGGAATATCTAGCGAATAGCATACCTGGACTTTGGTTGAAAGGATCATTTGTGTGTCAGTGAATCTGGCTGGCGGACATATAATCATGTTATTGTGAAGCAGCAATATCTATTTAATTAACTTAAAAGTGATTGGCTTCTTTCAAGAGAAGTAGGTTATTTGATATATTATCCCCGAAAAATACCACTTATGTGTAGTACTCCTATAATTTTCTAAATGTACAAGTTGGCTCTCGTTTCCCGTTGTTGAGAGATAGTGTGTGCTGTAAATGTTTCTATATTGCCTTACAAGAGCAATTGATGTTATGGTTTTCCCTAGCAAGGGTACAAGAGTGTGGTATCTACTACATTTAAATTGTTTTTTGAGCGTAATATATTAGTGGAATAAGATTTCCTTTTATAAGTTCTCAGTTCCTGAACGTCTTATCTGCATGATTTGTAAATTGATGATAATATTTGTTCTCTCCAAAAGAAGTTGTATATAAAATGTGATTTTCAGCTTTGTTGCCTTGGGAGAACTGGAATATAACTTCCAAAATGACTAGCACTCCCTTTTCTTCATTTTCTTTGACACCATTTGACTGGACATGGAGCTTAGGTATTTCTCTTTTTTATGAAGAAAATGTTTCAAGTGATAATTGAAATTTTAGTTTGGCAAAAGTTAACCACTCAACTCAAGTTTTCGCCTGATTTTCTCTTCTTTTTTTTTCTTCATAAAAAAGAGAAATCGGGCGAAAACTTGAGCTGACTGGTTAAATAGATCTGACTTTCAGAAACTTGTGAAAGTTGTATAAGACGATCATTTTTCAGAAGAAAGGTGAAACATTTTGGGACGTTCCAAATGGAGAAGTGCCATATAAATTGGGATGGAGGAGTACTATTTAACAGTTGGCAGTGCTTAAAAGTTCAGTTTACTACTTGGCTTCATAATCACGTATTGTATTTCCTTTATTGTAACTGTGAAGAAATGTGGAGTTGCAAAAAAAGATAATTCAAACAACCTTAGCTACAGACCTACAGTACTCAAGAATTTCAAGTTTTTCTTGTTTTTTAACATTTGATCTTGAGTCAGTTGATTCAGTTATGTTTCTTCTAGCTCCCTCAGTAGTCTGTATGAACCATCTTGATTAATCTTTTAGTAGACAATATCAGATACTTCTTTGTGTCTTTTTCATGACACTTACGTTACAGCTTTCCTAGAGGTGAGCTTTATTTTGGACTCATGACAGCTGATATTTGATTGATTGTTTTGCGGGATCTCAATACTATTGATGTTCTTCAGAAGCTTCTGAAACCAGAACAGGAAAGATTTCGTAGAACTGACATCTCTTACCTGAAGTGTTTGGAAAATAGTAGTGAGTATAGATTTTGAAAGTTGTACGGGTGCATCAACTTGGAAGTATTGGGCGTATTCTAGTGCTCACCTACAATTATACCAGGAAAGCTTGTGACTTGTGAGCCATAACCTCGGCGTATTTTTTAATTTCCTGGAGCATTTCTGCCTTCTCATTGAGAATTAATTACTTTAAGCTTTTTCTTTCCATCTTACATTTTGTACGTCAGTGTCATTTACTTTCCCAGAAAAACAAAAAATGTTGATGCCATTTTGTTACAGTGGAGATACCTGAAACTTTATACGAAATCTTGTCTGAATTTTGGGGGCTCAGTTTGCCAAATGGGCCAACGTAATTGGACACTTTGTTCTAGAATTTGATTTTGGACAAACATTAGAATTGAGTTGTCAGCCCAAAAGGGAGAGAAGCCCCCTTATTGAAATGTCCCTATTTGTGTTTTCCCCAAGATTCAGCCGTGAGCTGAAAATGAATACCAAAAAACGGCTGTGAATTGTAGGATCATATGGTTTTAGCAGGCTCTTGCGTGCTAGTTCATATGACCTAGTATAATAGCCTAGCGATAGCTAACTCAGAATAGGTCTGCTGGAAAGATCAATATGAAATGCTTCAATAATTTCCCTAACATAATCTCTGATTTGTTTGCATATAAGTTCAATAGGTAGACATTTCCTTTTTATTAAACTTATTTTGCGCTTTCCATGTCCGTTAGAAATATTTTGAAAATATAAGTTGTAGCAGGCAGACTTCCTGACCCCATTAAAACATAAACCCCCGTCTCCTTTTCTTTATGATATTTTTTTTTTATTATTTTTTTTCCTCCCTCCAACAACTACCCACCTTGCTCTTGGTGGGTGCAAGAATTACCCACCTTGCTCTTGGGGTGACTCGAACTCACAATCTCTTGATTGGAAGTAGAGGGTGTTCACAACTAGAGCCCCACTTGTCTTTTCTTTATGATATCGACCAACTCCTTTTTTTTTCTTTTTGGCACAAGTCACTCTCACCTTTTTATTTGCAAAATAAGTTGATTTCGTGCCACTGTTTAGGTTTTGACGTCATTTAAATAAGTTTTAAAAATAATCTACGGATCAGAACATGGAGTTTGCGGGTTAGAACTTCGCCACAAATCTTGATGGATTGCTAACTTAATTGGTTGGAAGTCCTAACGGATCGTTAGGATTTTAGTACAAATTGTGTCATCATTTTGGAACAAATTGCAACAAGTTCTGATAGGTAGGTAAAAGTTGTCCTGCCACAAGTCTTGACAGAAGATATTAGTACAAATTGCGTCATGGCTCATAACTCTGAAGCAAATTGTTCACAAGTCCTGATGGTTTGCACAAATTATGTTATAATTTTGGTACAAATTGTAATGGATCATTAGTATTTGCCTATGTAAAAATTTCTCCAACACGTTTTTGCTTCGAATTGATCCAAAGAAGGAGAAATTCCAACAGTATATCCATCTTTAAATAGGCGTCAGGCGTAAGAACATGGTGTGAAATTTCTCGGCTGACCCAACTGCTTCTCTTTAGGAGCGTCTTCATATCAAAAAAATGTAAGCTTGAGGTATCATCCCCTCCAAGCAAGTATTGCATCACGACAACTTTTGACATTAAAGTTCATGCATTTGGAAAATAAAAATGGGCATTTGAGAGATTGTCTCAAGCTAAACAACATATTAGATCTTCTACATTTGATAGTGATTTGGTAAGCTTGAGGTACTTGATAGTACATAAGGAATTGAACCTTAATTCGCCAGCATGACACACTTTCATTTTGGACTAGAGATCAGTGTCACGTATGACATTACTGGAATTTTTTTTTAGTGATCCAAATCATTGTATGTAAGATAATGCGTAATATATATTTTGCTAAGAACAAATTAAGACTCACGAACGACCCCATCTTTTTATTTTTTTGTCATGTGTTTGTGGGGTGAAATATTAAAAAAGCTTTGACTTGTGCTTTCTTGGGTGGGAATAGCACTATTAGCTTGTGTCACCAATTATTAGTGAGGTTTTGCATAAATAAATTAAAGCTTTTCGCCCTTAATGGAACTAATAAAACTTAGCAGCGATGTCAATGAGCTTCCTTAACAGTGACTTGTTGCATTTAATTTGTTAAGCATTAATTTCATTTTCCATTTCATCACCATCCAATCCATTTACTATCCTTGCACCGATGGTGGGGAGCTCAACACTGATCTGCCTCATGTCCCCCATCCACTTAGTAAATATTCTACCTTCCATCAGCGTTCGACTCAACTTAGTGTGTATTTTAGCTATGTTATTCGGTATATGCTATTTCCTATCAATATAATTCTGTCGATGACAGCTGAAAATATTATCCACATTTTCTATTATAATAGAACAAAAATAATGGTCTCTCATCATTTTTCAAACCCTCTTAATTGATCGCTAAATCATATCCATGAGTTATAGTTTTTCTTAGTGTCATCTAAGCAGAACTTATCTATATTTCACAATTAAGATAAGATGACCCTTACTATAATAGTATAAAGTAAAATATAAGAGAGTTCCACGTAATAAAGGTTAGGTCATGCTGTTTTAGTCACCAAAAAAGTAAAAAAGGGTCAGGTCATACAATATAATAAAGTAGATGATGATTTCAATTTTTCTTTAATCTCCACTATTTGATCAGACTTCCAAAACATATACTCTCCCCATTTGGTTAAATGAACTCATCAATTCGTTTGGTCCTTATACTGCTTGTAATATTCTTAGAAAAACATAAGCCTAGGCTCCTATTCCTATATTATTGGATTCATTATCATCAATTCATCATCATTACAAAACATCACACTTAGCCATAAAAAATGTAATAGTGAGTAGCGCGAAGTGCTTTGACCAATTCATTCCGCACTTAGAGCTGTTTGGCCAAGCTTTATATGAGGCAAAAGCCTTTTTTTTTTTTTTTTGGTTAAAAGTTCTTTTTTTATTAAAATTAAGGTGTTTGTCCAAGTTTTTGAAAGAAAAAAAAAGTGTTTCTGAGGAGAAGCATAAGCAATTTTGGAGAAGCAGAAAAAGTACTTTTTCGAAAAATACTTTTGAGAAAAATACACTTAGAAGCAATTTTTTAAAGCTTGGCCAAACACTAATTGCTGC